TTCTCTTTGCTGAAAATACTTTTTAGGCTCTGCATGGTGAAATTACTCATCCTGAAAAGCTCATTCAAAGTCATACCCGGTCCTAAACCCCCACCCAAAAGTATAAAGAAGTTTTATTTTCCGACTTCTACAGTATAGGAGCTGGCACGTAATGGGAGAGAAACAATGATTTATGAAATTGTCAACTGCATTAAAAATGAATTAGAGACTGATCTACCTGTCAGAAACCCTCTTCTCTCTTACAAAATTTAAAGCTTCTTGTTTAAATTTCAAACACTCATTTCCCTTGTGGCTATAATTGGCTTGGACTAGCAATAGCCAAATGAACATATGTGGACAGTAGATGCCAAATAATGCAATTTTTTGTGAAATATGCATGTGGCTTTCTTCTTGGCGGGTGAATATACTGCTATCCCACCATATATACTTAGTTCGAAAAATGCAGCATAAGGAAAAAACCAGATCCCATCTGCCAGGCAAAATAGCTATAAAGTGGAGAAATCAGGTTTTTGTTTTTTTAAAATGAATCCAGTGAGAGTAACTTGAGTTATTTTTTAATGTAAGAGCAAATAAACTCTTGAGCAAAGCTGCAGAGCAATGTGGTGTTCTTTTAATTTATAGCTAGGTCAAATCCAAATCCGGGTTTTAGCTAAATTAGAATGTTCCCAGAAGAGAGAATGATTAGACAATTCAAGTCGGCTTATGCTGGCCTTCTAAAACCTGGCTCACAGTCTGAGGGGACTAGAATTCCATTCTCGATTCAAGACAAGTAAACATTTCTCCGTGTATTCATGAGACTCACTGCACAACTTGGCTGGATGTTGCCATTTTCTTTAGCATATGTCGACAAAAACAAGAGTGTTGTTCTCCCATATTCTAGTCTGAAGGAGTGTGGAATAAGGGCAAACACCTGTTCTTTCTTTTCTTGGCCAACATTTGTCTCAACTTTTGGACTTCCATTTTGATGAATTTTATTTCCTTATCTACTAATAGGATCATTTGAAATATAACTTATTCATAGTTAACAAAATATATATATATATTGATCAAAATTAATTGTAATGTGCATCATGACTGGCCAAGACAATCAGAGTTATTTGGGACTTGTGTGTACTGAGATGCATTATTTTCATAAATACATAATCCTTCTTTACAGCGGGATGGAGAAGAACAGTGCAAAAACATGACTTTAAAGCTCACAGCTTTCCTGTACCAATTAAGTATATTGGATAGTAGTTTAACATGTCCGTCTCAGGTAGGGAATAACTCAGATCTTATCTGTCTACTGGGTTAATGTGGACATTTTCATATTATCATTATGAAGCATGACAGGTTGTTTGAGTAATTATATATTAAGGCATTTAAAAAATTCTGTGCTTCAGTACCAGAGTCAGGAAACCTTATTTAACAGCTCTACCTTTGGGCAGCTGTGTGACCCAAGAAAAATAGTTAACCTTTTAAACTCTATTTTTACTCATCTGGATAGAGAGGGTTGACTTTCTTTACCCAAAGTTACCAAGCATTTTAAAGGAAAACAGAGAACACAGTGCCTAGAAATATAGATAATTAATGGAAGTGGAATCTGGGCTATTTAATATAAGTTTTACCTGTTAATAGTAAAACCAGTGGCAGTACTGAAAACAGTCCACAGATTTTTTATTCTTATCTAGTGAAGAAAGCTGGTCTAAATACTGTATGTGTATTAGCTTCATGACTCCTATAACAGCCCTTGAAGTAGTTACTCTTATCTACACTAATAAAAGAGAAACATGGTAATGCACTGTATGTGTATCAGCTTCATGACTCCTATAACAGCCCTTGAAGTAGTTAGTTACTCTTATCTAATCTAATAAAAGAGAAACATGCAAATTGACCACACCTCCGCTACACCCCAAGCCACGCCCACCAGCCAAACAGAGCGACTATATGCAAATTAACCCAAGCAAGATGGCGGCCAGCAGCCACAGAGCTGGAGCAAGCAGGAGGCTTGGTTGCCCTGGCGATGGAGCAAGCCAAGCTTTCCGCCTGCCCTGGCCAGCTGTAGCCTCTGCTCAAGGCAACAAAGTTTTAATTATTGAAGATAAATAAATCCCAGATATCTGCTTCCAGCCAGCCTCCACTGGGAGCTTGGGTGGCTGGGGGCTGTGGACAGCCTGCAAACAGCCATCAGTCCCTCACCCAGACTGGCCAGGCACCCAGGCAGGACCACCCCCACTGAAGGGGGTGTGGCCAGCCTGAAAACAGCCATCAGCCCCTCATCTAGGATGGCCACACTCTCACAGGGTGAGGGTCCCTGCTGGGGTCTTTCCCAGCCTATAAACAGCCATTGGCCCTTTACCCAGACTGGCCAGGCACCCAGGCAGGACCACCCACACTGAAGGGGGTGTGGCCAGCCTGAAAACAGCCATCAGCCCCTCACCCAGGCTGGCCAGGGACCCCAGCGGGGACTCCCACCCTGAAGGGGCTGTGGCCAGCCTGCAAACAGACATCAGCTCCTCACCCAGGCTGGCCACACCTTCATGGGGTGAGGGTCCTCACTGGGGGCCTTGGCCAGCCTGGAAACAGCCATCAGCCCCTCACCCAGAATGGCCAGGCACCCCAGCAGGACCCCCCCA